TCGTTCCACGCCCCCCCCCCCCCTAGGTCACAGCCACAATCGTCTTATTCAATATGGAGTTGCAGAAATGGAGGATCAGCTGACGAGCATGGAAATGACGCTAGCATCATCCAATACGAGCCTAGAGAGACTAACTAACCTATGCAACGATTACATCAAAATGCTTTCACCCTAGGCCTTGCCCTCCATCGGCCGGGTAGCCTTCATACAATCTTGTTGACAGCGTGGTCTTATTGTTGATGGCTTGGTCTTATTGTTGATGGCGTGACAGCGTGGTCTTATTGTTGATGGTTTGGTCTTAATGACCTATTCTTAATGACCTGGCTTACCCGCTCAATTGTCTACCAAGCCGGGTTCACTGGAACCAACGGAGGACGGTAGTAACGAGGAACCCGACCAGAGCAGCAACCAGCCAGCCAGGCACCAGGCAGCCAGGCACTGCCCATTGCTCCCGTGGCTGCCTTTCAATTATCGCGGAAGTTTTGTGAAGACGACGGGTGAGGAAAAACTGCTCGGGGTCTTCTTTCGGCTGTCTATCCAGAGGTTCATTGTAATTTTTATGGGTCGGTGTGCTGAGCATCATTCTCAAGGTCTGAGGGCAACAAGTGCTTCGGGACGACCATGATACCCTATCGTCTCCGAGGTCTAGAACCTTGCCCTTCTCACTGTCCGGATGTGACTCACTCGTCGGCTCCATCTCACTCAACACATTCTTTTCATTCAACCCACCACCGGGCCTTGACGACTTACGGACACTAACTCCGGACTCCTTGCAACCTGCAACGCAGATGTCTTGGGCAACAACGTTATCGGCGGTCTTGTAATCGACAATGCGGAGGTCTTGGGGGACAACATTATCGGGGGCATTTCCAAGAAACCTTTTCTCTAGACCAAGCTCATGGCGAACGGCACCGGGTTGCTCAGGAACGGCACCGGGTTCCTCAGGAACGGCACCGGGCTGCTCAGGAACGGCACCAGAATGGTCAGGAACGGCATCGGGTTGGACAGGAACGTCAGCAGAGTGGTCGGGAACGGCACCACGGTCTTCAGGAACGGCATCGGGTTGGACAGGAACGTCAGCAGAGTGGTCAGGAACAGCACCGGCTTGGTCAGGAACGGCACCCGAGTGGTCGGGAACGGCATCGGGTTGGTCCGGAACGGCACCAGGGCGGTGGGGAGCAGCACTTGTGTGGTGGGAGGACTCTCCTTTAGAAACAGTGCTTTGTCGCGGTGCGGGAACCAAACCGCGAAGAGACGTGGCGACGACTGAAATGCCGCAAGTTCGAAAGCGATCATGGACCCCTAGCGTGGCCCTGCGCACTAGTTGCGGGACTGGGGGTACGTCAGAGTCTTCGCTCTGGACCGCTCCTCTCGTGTTCTGCACTTCGTGCTGCGCTTCATGCTGTACTTGGTGCTGCAATTCCTTTTGAACCTCCGCCCGCAAACTATACTTCAATTCGTCCTGCCGGATTCCGTTGTGCAAGTCGTCCGATCCAGTCCGTGGTAGTGTGAGCAACGACGGATTTCCGCAAGACTGTCGGCTGACCGGTTGGCCAGTTGAGATGCTGATCGCGGCAGCGCCGATGCGAGCACTGCGATGAGGTTCTCGCGCGAGAAGTCCCGGCTTCTCGGGCCAGGTGTTTTCTCGAGAAGGGTAGGTATCTCGGGCTGAGTAGGCACCTCGGTTGAGACTCGGGTCCCGTTCGAACACCGCCGTACGGTAGCGAGCATGGGCGGTGTCGTCTTCGTAAGAGATGATGGTCCGTGTTGTGTGGAACCCTGCACAGCTCGATCCGCCCGACGCGACTCGGTCGGTAGCGTTATCCAGTTCGACCTCCAACTTGAGCCTTGGGCCCTTGAACCCTGGACTCTTGAACCCTGGACTCTTGAACCCTGAGCTGTTAAGTCGCGGCAACAGACCAGGGCCGAGACTGAGCCTGGCCGCAGACAACTGGTCCCAATTCGGTGCCACTCCGGTCTTGGTCATTAAATGCGATTCATAATTACATTCCGACATCGTCAGCCGCTTGTGGGATGTCCTAGTCGGGGTTAGCACGGTAGCTGACCGCACGAACGGAGATGGGGTAAACTCATTTTTAGGCGACTCGAAGTTAGACAACTGTTTCTGAACTATTCCCTTGGGTATCACATCCGTCTCCCGCATGTCCCAAGAATTACAAAAAGGTGGTGGTAGTAGAGTTTGCACAACAAACCAGTCGGGCAAACTGAGTACAACAGGTGTGTGTGACGTGTTTGCTCCCTCCCATCCATTGAGTCCTCATGCCCAATGGGACCAGAATTCTCCCTCATGCCCAATGGGACCAGAGTTCTCCCTCATGCCCAATCAAAAATCTAGCTCATTTAGCCGCCTCACAGCTAAGCTATCCCGAATGCAACAATCTCCAACAGGCCGGTCCAACAGGCGCCTCGTTAGGCGCAATAAGAGAGTGAACCAATTGAAGAGAGTGAATCAGCTGAAGGAAGTGAGCCACCACACCCCTGGTCAATAGCCCAACAATTCTAGGCATGACGAGAGTACTTGGTAATGTTCCCGCCACATGGTTCGGACGACTTCCTCAAGCTCGCGGTTCGCGAAGTATTCTTGATCGTCGTAGACTTCAGTCCAGACTCCACGAGCGAGAACCTGTTTCTTTGGCGGCGGCGTCCTGCCGTCCTTGTCGCTGTCGATCACCTGGGGTCTTGAACGTCGCCATCGCCTTTTGACCAAGGGCGGGGTCGGTCGTTCTTTGCGTTTTCTATCCTTCCTGATCTCCGCAGAATCGCTGCTGGAGGAAAGTCTCCAGACGGGAGAGGTAGCTTCCATGTGGGTGGTGTCGACATGCATAGCATCAATTTTGGGAGGATCCATCTGAGGAGGATTCATCTGTCTCATTTTCTGATCCAGTTCTTCTTTGGACAGATGGGCGTATTCGGTCACAGAAACTTCTGGTAGTCTCCGGATTCGGGCCCTGAGATCTTGCAACCGTCCGTCGACACCGCCGTCGTCTTGGGGGATTGCGTGGACCACGTGTCGCTTTTCCAGACACTCCAGAGGCCGTGTATCATATCTTTTGAAGAAGGGGTCGTAGTTGAGTTTAGTGATGCAGAATTCGCAGAGGTGATCAATGGAGACGCCTGAGTGTTGAAGCAGACAGCCGGCGATCCAGAAGCGGATTCGTCCTGAGGTCGGACCTATGCGCATAGCTTCAACTATTTTGTCTGTAAGATACTGGTCGACCATCCCGTAGGGGTCATCGAAAAAGGTTGAGATGATTGCGCCAAGTTCTACGAAAGCGAGTTTGCACCTTTGAAAATCCTCAAGGCTGACTGTCTTCAGGCGTTTCCACTCTTGTTCCGTGAGCGAACTATAAACCACTCGATAAGCTGCAAACGGGTTCGTTGCGAAGCTATGCTCCAGTTCCCTTGGCAGCGCCTTTCCAGCGCTAGTCAGAGTTGGTATGTACAGCGGTCTGGTCCTTCCGTCTCTGCTGACCATCGTCCAATCATCCCAGTCCAACTCCGTCGAGAACAACCTGGATAACGTCCGCCACCGTTTGCGCCGGTGAGCGGCGAGGCCGGTCATAGACCCGCGAAGTGTAAAGTACTCATCCTCCCCCAACGGCCGCCAGTACCTTGGCACCCAACGGGCTTCGCACTCGATTACCCCCGGCGTCTTTCCCGAAACCGGCACTACTTCCGGTCCGCCAGCGCCCGTCTTCGAACTCTTTCGCTCAGGGGGGGGGTGATCAGAGGGCTGAACAGAGGGCTGATCAGAGGGCTGATCAGAGGACGGCGATGTAGAGGGTTTGGAGGCTAGAGCAATGGGCCTGCATAAGTTGTCAACCGTGCTCTGCTCCATGGTTGCGAACTGGGCGGCCGAAACCTTCGGTAGTCCGGCCAGCCTTCGAGTGAGTGCATGTCGGGCATAGAAGCGAGTACAGTTCTTTCTTCCGCAATAGTGAACGAAACCGTCTATATGCAGACATTCCAGTTGGCGCGCTCTTTCAGTTCCGGTCTTGGGCAGGTAGTTAAGCTCGTTGACGCAAAAGTCGATCAGACTCTCAATCATCACGCCGGTCCGCTGTAGCAGGCATCCCGTGACCCACAAACGGGCCTGACCCAATCGCATAACCGTATTCAGTTGCTTCATTATACTGTGGTCCAGCAGGCCGTAGGGGGCGTCAAAAAAGTACGAAATAATGGCGCCCAGCTCTACGTAAGCCAGGTCGCACGAGGTCAAGTCCCCGGCAGTTACGGCTTTCAATTCTTTCCACTGTGACTCAGACAACGATTGATAAATCATGCGGTAAGCTTCGAAGTCCGACAACTCCGTTCCCAGAGCTCTCTTACCTAGCGGTGTCCATGGACTGAGCGATGGCATGTACACAGGCGTTGTGCCTTCTTTCCCGCACATGCTCCACGACTCGAACCCATCGACTACTCCGCTAGTGAACGACCTCCTCCAACGGTTCTGACGATCGTGCGAAACGATCGGCGTGAGCCGGTCGTACCCCGCTCGCTCCAGAGGCTCCCAGTAGCGGCTGACCCATGCGTGCTCCCACACGTCCCCGTCGTCGAACAAGCACTCGGAAACGAGATTCTTCTGGGAGGCAAACCCTGTCGCCGAAATTGTGGGCAAACCTGCCAACCTTTGCTTCAACTTCTGCAACCGATCTGTAAAGTCGTCCCTGTCACAGAGTTCTCTACAACTAACAGCGCTCTTCTCCAAGCATACAAGTCCAGCGTTATCATAATACGGATCATACTTGAGATCAGTTAGGCAAAAGTGAGCGAGACTATTAATCGATACACCCGAATGCTGTAATAGGCAGCCCGTGATCCACCAAGGGAGCCTAGTCGACCAGGACTCAGGGTCCGTCCCTTCAACTATTTTGGCTGTCACATGCTGGTTAACGGAACCGTAAGGAGTAACTAAGAAAAACGAAATTATCGCACCAAGTTCAATGAATGCCAAATCACACCTCTGGAAGTCTTCGGCACTAACAGTCCTCAATTTCTTCCACTGTGCTTTGGTTAACGTCGCATGAATCATACGATAAGCCGCAAAATCACTTCCATTCTCCACTTGGCCGCTCTGGGTCTTGCCGCCTTCCTCTACCATTACCCCGCCAAGTGTCGGAATGTACGACGGCAAGGCCCCGGGTCCGGACCTAGCCCACTTACGAAAATCCAACGAGGGGTCTCGGGAAACTAAACCCCACCGCTTGTAGTAGTCGCGCGGGTGCAACGTCCTCAAATTTTCGTACTCCGTCTGCTTCAGCGGACGCCAATATCGATTCAGCCAAGCCACCTCCCCCAAACATGGTTTTGGGAGTCCCACTGCACCTCCTGCCGGCTGCATACCCACCATGTAGCAGCGCCATTCCCATAACCCCTGCCGGCTCTCTATCGACCGCATCGCCCGCGCAAATCCTTTTAGCTCTTAAAAAACTTTGATTTCAGCTCCGGAAAGTTCATTGAGGCTCCGAGTGAGGAATCGACGTCCGTGTAGACAGGTCCATGATCAATCGAGATAGTCGTTCATTCGGGCGCATGATAGTCTTCTCTTGGTCCTCAAACACATTGTGGCCCCCGGCATGCTCTAGGTCCCCGATCCGCTCCAACTGGCCAGTTGGCAAGCAGCTACTGTACATATCTGCGTTCGGAGTAATCCGCTTGGCCGGCGGAGGCTGGCAGTCCCGACCCCAACAGTTCCAGTCCGTGCGATTCGCGCGGACTCGCCAGTTACGGGACACTCTTCTATCCCGAAACCGCCCGTGGGATTCAGTTACGTGGCAACGCTTCTCCGTCGCAACTCGAACCACAGGTGTTGAACTTTTTTCCGGCATCTCCTCGGTCATTGTGACGTATGGTTCGTCAACGTCCATAGCTTCTGGATCGTCAACGTCTAGCTCCATAGCATCTGCTTCCATAGCGCCCAGTTCAACCTGTCTAGATGCTACTGCTTCACGTTGCAGCTTCACCTCCAGAGTCTGTTGGTCCATGTTGCGGAATTCCTCAATCGAAATGGTCGGTAGTCCGTGAAGTCTTTGGGTCAGCAGTCTTCGTCGTACTGTGGTGTGTGCATTCGGTCTGCGTATGTGTCTACTGGGTCTCATTAAATACTTTGCCAAGCATTCTAATCTGAGAGGGTATTTGCTCGACGGCTTGAATCCTAGGGTGACACAAAGATTGGTTAGATTGTCTTTGGAAGCACCGCAATGCTGCAAAAGACAGCCCGTAATCCACCACCGAAGTCTGTTTGATGAACGACCCGCCTCCAACTTCATTCTCACTTCTTGTGTGGAGTTCATATCCAAGAGCCCGTAAGGTGCTTCGACGAAGGAAGAAATGATCGCACCAAGCTCTACGAAAGCCAGGTTGCAGTTGTCGAAGCTGGCGGCGTTCACGGTTCTCAAGCTTTTCCATTGGTGATCCGTTAAGGATTCATGAATCATGCAATAAGCCGCAAAGTCCCGGTCCGAGTCACGGTTCGAATCCATCCTCCGCAAACTCTGGAAAGCAAGCGTCGGGATATACACCGGTCTAGGCTCTCCATCGTCTACGACCATAGTCCACTCCTTACAATCGAACTGCTGCGGAAATAGACGACCAACTGCCCTCCAGCGGCGCCTCCGCTCCATAGGCAGCACTGACACCGCACTCCGCAGCGCGTCGTACTCCGTCTTCTTCAACATCTTCCAATACTGTGCGATCCAAGGGAAGCTCCGCTCCTCCGCAGGTTTCCACTTACGCCCCGCCCCTTGTGGTAAAAACGCGGTCAAACGATCCCGCGTATCTTCAGTCGTATTGCTGGAAGACGTTTTCCGAGGACGTTTCATCAACCGGTCGAAACTTCTCGGGGTCATAGCCCCAAATTCCGTTATGGACACGGTGGGTAGTTTGTCCAGTCTTACCATTATTATCGCCTTCCGTCTACTACAGTCCTTCTCGCCCCGTTTGCTGTACTCGTGATAGGTTGACGGACGCCTCAGACATTGAAGGATGGTGCGTCCGTCAGGGCCGCTTACAGGGTTGTAGCCCAACTTGGTTACAAGAAAGTCAACCAGGTCTTCTATTAGGACGCCCGCATGTTGTAAAAGGCAGCCCGTGATCCAGTAGCTGAGCTTGGGTGTGAGTCCATTGACGCCCATATCGTGCATAATCCCGATCCGTACAGGCGCATCCACCACCCCATAAGGCGTCTGGACGAGGCAGGAAATCATCGATGCAAGTTCCACGTAGGCCAAATTACAATTTGCGAAGGACGCAAGAGTTACCTTTCGCATGCTCTCCCACTGCTTTGGAGTCAGCGAGCTCTGAACCAAGAGATAGGCCGCATAGTCACTACTCACCCTCTCCCGGTCTCTCGCCCCCGTCTCATTGACCTGTGTCTCATTCACCTGTGGTGTCTCTTTCACCTGCGTCTGGTTCACCTCCGTCTCCTGACCACTCGTGGACCCCATTATGTGCCGCCCGGCCGTGGTCAGGCCGCTGAGGGTGGGAATATACAGTGGCCGGGAAGCGTTCGTCGTCCACTCACGGGGGGCCGCAGACGCCGCCTCAGCCACCGCCTTCCCGCGGCGGCGAAGACCCCTTTTCGCCAAGGACACCACTGGACGCAGTGCCCCGTACGTCGTCTTCTCTAGCGGCTCCCAGTAACAACTCAGCCATTCGATCTCCAACTCTCCTACATCCACAGACTTGTCCACTTTCACACACCTGTCCCCATTTGCCTGCGTGAGCGACAACTGTCCAGCAGCTCCCACGACCTCTCCAGAACCCTCCGCAAACTGCACATTACTTAACTCACTAGGATAGACCGCTAACAAACAACACGCCTGGTCCAGCCGGCACCGTCCGCTAAGCACGACCCGCATGTCCCCCTCCACTGAACGAAAAAAATGACCTCAGCAGGCCCCTCTGCAGCAGACCCCACAGCGGAACCGACTTTCGTGTAGGCGGCCCACGCAGCTCACCCAACCAGGGGGGGGGGGGGGGG